TTTACTCATACATATCTAGTGCAAGGTCAGATGTTATGTAACTTTTTGGTAATGTAAAGATGTTGTCAGTTTTTTTTTTTTTTTTACCTTTTCCTTATTTACAAACTGTGTATTCGGTTCGTATATTGAGTAATAAAATCAACAATGATCAATCACTATCAATAGATCAAATATTTTATGTAAGTGGTCAGTGTTCTCGGGGGATAACAATGTTGATTTTGTTTTAACTTATTGACTTTGAACAAATCTTAAATTGAATTTATTAAATACGAATTCTAGATTTGGCTAAGGTTAATTCTTAATTATCATTACGTAAACACTGATCACACGATGATCACATACGGTCATGTCACATGGGTATTGAAAAAAGTTAACAAGTTGTGAAATTGTCATTAGAAACTGGTCCTGGGGTATATAATGGCCGAACATGCCCTGACAACCTCAGTTGCGGTCTCTCTAAAATAAATTTGTAAAATATTACAACTTGTTTCCTTTTAAGGTACATGTACGTAGATGTATATTCAACCATCTATATGTTAATCATATTATATATTATTTTAAAGTAAACGCAACTAGCCTGTAATATGTTTAAAAAATGAAATGTTATTAATAAATTGTTTCTTTTTCAGAATGTTTTGTAAAATTAATTATTTTATTGTTATTAGAGTTGTGGTTTCTCTAAAATAAATTTGTAAAATATTACAACTTGTTTTCTCTTAAAGCCTAAAATAACAGAGGCTGAGTTCAAATTAATCAATCATCCCTCACTAGCCAAGCGGAAACAAAGCTCAACCAAATCACTCAATTTTAACTATAAAATAAAATTTCATTTTAAAAGATTCTTGAGTTTCTGATTTACAATATATATGCGCTGTTTGGAGACCAGTGGCATTTTTCAGAAAAGTTCTAACGACTAAGATAAAAGTTTAACACCTCTTTAATTTTTGTTTGATTAAGATATTCATTTTTTTCTGAAATACTATTTGCAATTCTTATCTTATGAAATAGAAACGTAATATTTTTGTGCATCTATGGCATAGATAATTGCTAGAGAATAGGATTTTTTTTTCTTAGTCGTAAGATTTTTTGTGAAAAGGGTCTTCCAACAATTTATTGGAATTCCCATGGGTACCAACTAAAAATTCCAAACGTAGGTGCTAAGTTATTATTGCTAAGTACATAAGTAAGAGAGGTTGACAAATAGTATTGAAAGGTTGAAATCATTACGTTTATCATAAATCTATATTGTAGTTGTGGCAGACTCTTTGGTATCTTTTATTTAAAAAAAGTCACAATTTAGGGTATATTGAATCGACGTATGAATGAATGTGTATTGTTCAATGAAAATATGTCGTCGATATATCTTAATTCGAGTTAAAGGCAAGTGCTCCTTTTTCTCAAGGATCAGTTTTTATTGACCTATGCTTTAAATGAATATACAAAGGTATGCTAATATAATTAGTACCAATGAGGATTCTGACTGAATGTTAGAAGATCTGATTTCCAAAACTACGGATTGTCTAACACAAACAACCGTCACTGTAGCTCAGTAGGTAGAGCATTCTCTTCATGATCGGAAAGTCATGGGTTCAAGTCAAAACCGCGACTGACCTAAGCCATATAAAAACCACAAGTCTCTGGTTAGACTGTAGCTCTACTGGTCTGTACGTATAAGAAAGGAAAAGTAGCACTTGGATTTTAAACTTTGCAACAGGAAGCAAATAATAGAATTATGTATCTTAGTGCAGTCTACTTGTGTGCCAAGTTATATTGAAATCAGATCAACACTGTAGGATGAGTAGCGTTTTTAAGGAATTTTACAGAAATGTCTATTTTTAATAACCATGCCAACACCGTTCATCGAAATCAAAAACCGATGCACTAGATTATGTATCTTAGTGCAATCCACTTTTGAGTCAAGTTATATTGAATTCAGATGAAAACTGTAGGAGCATACTTAGCATTTTGAAAAAGTGTTTAGAGAAAGGCGGACAGACATGACATACAGACGGACGGACCGACGACGGAAACCTTACTATCGCATAAGCTCTTCTGGTGTCTGTCCAGTAGAGCTAAAAAAATATGTGGCAACCGTTCCTTCGCAAAGCGCTCTGCATTTTGAAGTGAAAGTTGCGAATCCTTTAGATGAAGCCTTAAGCAACCGAGGCTCCTGGTCACAGTGGGCATTTGTGTTGAGACTACAGTGCCATGTAAAGGTCTAAATTATGATTGAAACCAAGAGGCCTTCTTTTATAATTTAGCTAAAATTAATTGATAGAGGATTTTAATGGTGATATAGTTGAAAAATAGTATATAAATGAAAATATCTGCTGTTGAGGAGAAACTTCAAACGTACTGTTCTATACAGTACATTATAGAGGTGGCTTAAATCATTTGTGGATTTTCAAAAAAAAAGAAAACCCAAGGAACTCTATCTGAAAAGATTAAGCGGAAAAAAAATCAGAAACAATGGTGCGTGTAAATAATGGCCAAATAATGAGCATAAAAACGTCAATCAGCATTCAACTTTATGATAGATTGCACTTGCTAACAAGGTGATTGTATCCAGACCATAGAACTTGCGAAATGATGACTTTAAACGAGACTATTGATATCCTTGTTTTATTAACTTGTTTGTCGATAGCTTACCTTGTTTTAAAATTGACCGTGCGTAGATGTTATGGACTTCAAAACAGTTCTAATAACTTAACACAATAAAGCGATAATCATGAGGAAAAAACAACACAAACAATGCATCCCCATTTGGCATTATTAATTGTAAAAGTAAACATACTTTAGACAGAAATTAAACTGCAAATAGACAGGGGTACAAAATAATTAAGCCATTTTTCAGAAGAATTTGTTGAATACCGGTATCTTCACCATGTACCCTAAACATTTATATAGGAGGAAACTATTTTGATATTTAAATATTTTCCCCTTAGATTTAGATTTCCTAGAAATATATTACAATAGTAAATAATTATTTGTTAAATTGATATTTGAAAACAAATACAGCTTTTAGCTATAGGAATGCATACAACAGAACTTTTTTTATTCTTTTTCTTCCGGCTTTCATTTGCTTAACTATGTTTTTGTGATGGTGTTTGAAACTATAACGATGTAATTAGAACTGACATTTGGATTATATACCAGTTTTCAATTTTTATTAAAATGTCCTTGTTTTACAGGATATTTAAGGCACTTCTATCCTCAGCTATACCCAGGACGGATAACTCTTTAATCTATATTCAAATAAAAAAGCTCAAATTGAAGCTTGGAAATTAATTCTTTTCAATCAACAATGTTCCTTTTACATCTCTCAATGTATTTCGAGGTTCTCAGAAATGTTTTATAAAAAGTCAAAAATTTTACCCCTTAAAAGTATTTTAAAATTTCAAATTTAAAGATATTAAGATTAATTTACTTGTAAACATAGGTATCAATGTTTATTAAGATGTTATTATATATGGTGTTTTGCAATGAAAGGAAAATCTTTATACATTAAGCATAGTAAAATGATCGAAGTAAAAAGTTTAATTAAAGTACTGGCACCTTATTTTTATAAAAATTGTGCAATTTTATCAAAAGCCTGGATACCTATGATTTTTATTTCTAAAATGTGGTTGTTGATTAAATTTGAATTGGAAAATGCATATTAGTAAGTGTTTAGTGTTTTAATTCGCATTTCCTAAATTCTATATGTTTTCTTTGACGACTCTAAAATCTATTACTTTGTAAAATCTATTCAGTCATTAGTTCCACATTTCTTGGCATTTGAAATTCAATCATTCATTTTAAATTCAACAACGAAGCTTATGACAGTACAATTAATTGCAAAAGCTTTGTATAAAAAAAATATCATCTGAAAACTAATCTAAATATGAATTTCTGAACACGTTCTTTGACTTTATATCAGAAGGGGCTTACTTAAGATCACAATGACGAGAGGTATTTTAATATATTTATTCAATTGCAAACTTAAGTTTCATCAAGAACTCAAGTTTTCAACAGGACACCATTTATGCAAGATGCTAGGTCGTTTTACCTTAAAATCAAAGTTGTAATCTTTTACATTATTGAGAGTTATGTTTTCTTTGAATTAGTTCAAGGGAAAATATCAATACACAAGATTATCATTAAGAAACCATTTTTTGCAATGTATGAATTTCTTGACCTTTGACGTAAAACATCGATTTTTCTTTAAGCCATCCAGAAATCAAGTAATCCCCATGCTAGGTCCTGATCCAACAAGTACAATACACATGAACTTCACTACTCAGGACATATTATTAAAATTCAGTTTGCAAAATTAATTTTAATACTTTAATATGATTCTACATTTCCAATGACAATTGTTCAATCATGAGAAACAATATGTATACCTTGCAATGAAAAGTTATTACTTTTGATTACATGTAGTATTACTTGTATATTTTCTAGACATTTCATCCTGAATTTCCTTTAAATAATTCCTTGATTAATCAAATATACAAGAAAATGATGAGAATTTTCTCACTGTAAGATTAATACTCCAGGCCTGGAGACCAAAAAAAAAAAAAAAATAATAGAAAACTCACTTTTGATCCAAGTTTCACTTTTCCAAAGGAATATAAAGTGGAAAAGACAGACTGGGTTCAAAAGTGAGCTAATCTTAGTTTTATGGTTCCAAAGCCTGAATATTCTACGATGAAGTATAAAAGTATCCCGATTTTGGATGAAAGATTTAAGTAAAGCCAAATACAGCTGAACTTCAGTATTTCAAACTCCAATATCTCGAATACCATGGATATGTTGAAGTGATAGGGAAGTCCCAACCACGTATTCTTTAAATATTTTACCCTCTATATCTAAAATCATTGGATATCTCAAAATTTTTTCTCAGCCCCATCAGGTTCCAGATAACGAAGTTTGACTATAAAAGTAATTATTTGATTCTTCATGAAAATAAGCATTTAAGTTTTCATCATTTATTAATGAGTGTTTGGTACTCTTTTTACATAACAACATTATGAAAGATCATACATCACAGTAATTAAAAAAAAGAATGTAAATATTAAGAAATAAATAAAAAAAATAATGATAAATGTCCATCTATAATAAATTATTGAAAAATATACATTTCAGATAGTCTTTATCTAACAAACATGGTCCACATTAAGAGAGTTCCATGCTGCTACATTCTTCATCATCACTGAATCCCCACACCTTCAAAATTAAAATAAGCAAATTAAGTTTCTAAATATATTTTTTTAATCTATCTGGGATATATGTGAACTCAAATCGGAGTTTCAGCAACACTATAATGTCAATGGATATAAAAGATATTTGATTGAATATTTGGTATATGCCAAAACTGGTTCAATGGTACAAATGAAGAAGCTGAAATTTATAAAAGTTTAGGACTGATACATGGCAGACATAAAAAACTAATAGCAACAGTGACTTTGGTGACATAGTCCTGTTAACTGAATAGTCAGAATTTCCCACAGTGAAAATTGTTGTCTCCTTATTGTTATATTTTAATCGTTTTCTTTTATTTACCTCAGCATCCAATGTTTCCTGGTGCATCTGTGTAAGCCCTGTCAAATCCTCTAAATATGAAGGATCATTAAACGCCCTCCTCAAGAATTCAAATCCATCCTTCCTGTATTGTTGTATCACCTAAACAAATATTTCATTTTCTACAAACTTAAAATTGTTTCATAATATATGATACATACATGCACATTGATACACATAAAAATGATGTCTGCAAAGAGCTTCACAGCTTATAAGTGAACAAAATGATTAAAAAGGCACATGTGGCATAAAACAACAATAATCAATAATCATACAAGTGGTTTATTCTTAAATCTTTCAATTTTTTCTGTGCAACCATTAACTTCTAAAATTTCAATGGTTCAAAGTAGAAGAGTCATTCAGAATTCAAAGAAGTTAATAATATTCATGAAAGAATGAAGATGATTAAATGCTGCTGCTGCAGTACTCACAGTAGTAGAACATGCGGTACATTTATCAAAGGCTTTGCAAGCTGGGAGGACTTGCTGAAACCTGGATACAAAACAGCGAATCTGAAACAAAACACATCTTTAAATATTCCACAGGATTAATAGGGTCAAAACTTTGTGATGCCAGTGATACATGTACAAGTTCATCTTAAAAATTACAACTTTGCTTTATACCCTTCACACAACACTTCTTTTCAATAATAATCTTAAAAAATGTGTATTTTTTTCTAAAGGGCCTGGAAAATTGTCATTATATCTTCCATTAATGCTTGTGTGCTTTAAAGACAATATATGATACCTGGTGTGGCACCAGTCCAAGGGCGCTGACAAAGTCCTTACTCAGGTGATCATCATTAGCACTGGTGTCTGCAGGGGCATATCCTCTATAGAAGAATTAACATCAAATTATTATAAAACTCTGGTTTTCAAAAGGTTTATATTTCTTGAATTATATATTTAAAAGATCTTCACATGCATCATACACACTTTTGTGGATGCTGAAGAACAGACACCAGAAGTTCTACTGCCAGAGCTGAAGCCATGTAGGAAATCCCTGGTCTAGATACTGTACACTGCTGGTCCAGTGTGCGATCTTTTAATGACTACAAAAAAATATTTTGTCAAATCATTATTACATAAAACTTTTCCCTTTACACATATGACAAGAGCATAAGTGCATCTTTCCCTAAATTCTTCCGCATGAAGTTCAAAATTAATGTGATTATTTAATTTTTTTCTAATCCATTTCACAAGAATTTTGCATGACATGGGTTTTACAAGAATTCCACTGAGATTGAAAGCAAGGTAATTAAGCTGTGTAACATGTTACCATGAAAACAGTGTCATTTTCACAAGATGTAGACAAAAAGAGTACAGTTAGGTCATTAACATGTTATTTATTAGATTTTTACATTCTATATGACCAACACAGTATGTTAAATGAAAAATTTCAAGAAAGAATCTTACATTTCCTGGAGCTACCACATCGTTACAGAAATAGCAGCCTAGCTGGTCCCCTGGTATGGAGTTATAAGACGACAGAGAAACTGGTTCTCCACCCTCAGTGTCTGACTTGACACCATGCCGCATCACTAGGTATGTGTCAAACCCGAGCGCAGAACAAATCACAATCTGAAATGAAGAGGTTATATAAGAAGACGTTTTAGCTGGACATAACTCTTTTGACAACCCAGTGCCATGTTTATAACCTTTATATAGAAAAGAAAGTATCTGGGTACATATTGTTTCCAAGATTTTTATCCATTACATTAAAATCAGATTTTTGATGCAAAATTTATGAATGTTGAGAATTAAAGTTTAAGGACTTGTTATTGCTGGTCTCTTCTATGTCTCTATTTATCATATTTTATTTATACTTTACTTTATTTAATATTAAATTATTTTAATTTTTTAACAAATGAACGAACCTTTTGCTTTTCGGCTGCCATTAAAGTTGGAAGCCATCTACTTTCTCTTGTGTCTAGTAATAAAAATATTGCATCATGGGTATTCACTAAATCCTGCAATGTCTGTACATCTTTCTGAACACCTTCTATTGCACTGTCTGTATTAACAAGAAATAAATACACAAAATTATATTAGCCTTTATTAGCTTCTTTTCTGTGCTAGAATATGCAAATTAAAGCACAAAAGGATAGCATGACAAAAATACTAGTTTACCATGCAGGAGAGAATTGAATCAAATGGTTTATTATATTAATTCTGACAGATCAGTAAATTACCTGGAACTGCATGTCCTGGCATTGGTATGGAGAGACTTAATCCCTTAGCATCCTGTAATTAAAGGTACACATATACATGTACTTCAAGAGAAAGGTCATTTGAAAAGATTTCATATAAAGTACTATGACATAACTTATTTAGCACAGGATAGCTGCATGATGTGTATATATATTTTTAACATTTATAGAAAGTTTTTAAAGAGCTTTAAAAAATCAATTAATTCTCCAATATCATAGCTGCAGTATTTCTTTAGAAATTTAAAGCACTGCATTTTGGGGTAAAATATATTACAATTGATGCTTTTAATTTGTCTTACGTCTAACACTAAATGACTTTATAGAACTTTACGATCTTCACACTCACCACTCCCGGGAATATTCTCTTCAGTGCCTCGGCGGCGGCCTCAGCCTTAGGCTTTCCTCCCTTGAGACAGTCGTCAAACACAAACAAGGACTGGCGTACCGGGTTAGAGTAGGAGATCCTACCATTATCAACCAGAGTTATGGTTCTTACTCCCCAACCCTGCATAGTAAAAGAAAATGCTGAGTAAATATATTGAAATTGTTGATTTTGAAGCATTCAAAACAATTTGAAATGGAAATGAATTGTTACACTCATTTTCATGTAAAGCCCTTCATATATTGAAACAAGATATTCATAGGCTGTATATTGAGATCCGAGATTGGCTGGCCTTACTATTGTTACATATGAGTATCATAATTTTTCAGTCACTCCCTATGACAAACAAGAAATATTGCAAATGCCAAATACAAGTCATTTGAGTTGCTCTCCAGCATCTAAAAAGCCCACACAAACTTAAAAATTTTGTTTTTCAACAGTAATCTTCTTGGTACACTGCGATACAATAGTTTCATATATCTGCATGTCATCACATTTACTATGATTTTGTCAAAATCATCTTGGATCATTGCCATTAAGTCATATTTGGCATAACATATTCCAAAAATAATCAGTCAAGAGCAATTATATGTCAAAACTTGTAAAATATTTTTTAAAAGGAGTCACTCTTCTAAAGACAAATGTTTGTATTTGACTACAACATTACAATGTAATTTGATTGATACTTGCCAGTAAGCACCTTGCCACATTGCACCCTAGAGTTCCTGCACCTAGCAGCAGACATTTTGTCTTTGACACAAGGTCAAGGTCGAGTTCTGGTAATAACCTCCATCTCATCAACTTCAAATTAAGGTCAACCGCTGATGCAGCCAGTCTGTTAGAAATCATGAGGAAGAGTTACTCCCCTTCTTTTCTCCATGCATTTACATCTAAATGTATATAGATTTGTTAATATGGCCTAGTTAGTACTACATTAAATCATGGTGCTTATTTTACCTAGTGGGATCCATGCTGGCACTTAAGTTTACAAATCTTGGAGCTAGTTTCTGTTTTTCATTTTTCTCCCAACCAACACATTTTGGACATTCTACAAAAAATCAGACACACATTGTGCAACAAAAACAAGTCGAGAATATAAATGTCCAAAATATTATTCAACTTACTTTCCTTTTATTATGAAAAAAATTCAACACAGCATTTACATTTACATGTATATGCTCTTGTGTAAAACATTTCACTACTCCGACATGATACTGTAAACCAACTTTTATTCACATGTGAGAAATATCCGTGAGTTCTGCTATCTACTTCAATTCACAAATATTAATTACTGTGAACCATTCATTTTCCTATGCATTTGTAGAGAATGTTTCCTCAGTGGCAGAAATTAATCATCACAAATTGATTTTTAACTGACAAATCGCAGGTATAAGATGAAGAGTACTTTACCTGTGATGACCTTCATATCAGGAACACTAAGAGACAGTACGAGGCTGTGTGATGAGATATCTCGAGATCCATCTCGACTCCTATCTCTAACACAGAGTATATTCACATTCTGTAAATCACCTTTCCTGTAAATGAGATAAATAAATGTATGAGGATTACCAAATATTTCAGACATAATTACTCCTGACAAAAAAATTATACCTGTACACATGTAGACCTGTATATGAATTGTTTACAAACATATTTCAAATTGTTGTGATAATTTTGGGGGAAAGAATTGTGAAATTCTTATCAGAGAGTAAATTTAAAACCCTTGCTCTTATGGTTTCTTCTTCATAATTTACGACTGGACTTCAGTATTTTAATAATCTATACATGTATATCAAATATGACAAAGCTAGGTAAAAGTTTTAATCTCAATATCTCAATTGAGTGTTTGAAATAACCATGGGCTTGACTGCCAGAGATACACAATTTTGCTGAGAGCAAATAGACTTGCATGTATTGAAGCCTGGCTGGAAGTGCAACAAGCATACAGGTAGAATTCATTAGCCAGAGACCTTTAGATTCGGAACTGAAGTTATGATGATCTGGCTTCATAAAAATTATCACTAACAATAAATTCATAAGACATTTTTTTTTCTCTGGCTAATAATTTTTGGCAGGGTTGACAAATTTCACTTGCAGTCAGTCCTACATGCCTATCTAATTTTCCAGTGAGTTTCAAACACTGCTCAAACATTTTGATATCTTGTACATGTAGTTTTCCTTCTCCAATCAAGTTCTGAATAAAACAAGTCTCTCTGCACATATCTTACCCCTTTTTCATTGTAAGGGTATATACTCAGCCATGACTTACCAGTGATATGCTATGAGGACTAGAAGATTCCTGAGAGGCCAGCCAGGATAATTCTCAATGGTGCTGGGGTCACATACCCCAAAGTATACCTGTACAATATAAAGGAGAAATAAAGTACATAAACAAAACAGTATAGCTGAAACAAGAGGCCCATGGGCCACATCTCTCACCAAAGCACATAAAATATGCAAAAAAAATATACTTCTAAAATTTACAGTTTATAAAATCCATGAACCAAAATAATCTTGCTCAGATTAATACAAATATAAGTGATGCTTAAAATAAAATAAAATATAAACAAAAGGGGATGGAAAAAATAAACAGCGGTGAATCAATCATTGATGAAAATGTTTATAAAATATTAAAGAAGTCTACAGCCATATGAAACATGGTATTTTATTTGATAAAATGCTTATACTGCTCGCTAGAAACACAAACTTTATATTCAACACAAAACACAGTTGAAGAAAACTCAATTATTCACTTTTCATATACTTGTAAAGATCACAAATAAAAAAATTTTTTTTTAAATTTGGGATATTATGTAGAAATAAAATAAGATATACAGCTGTATATGAAAAGTTAATTCTTTGAGCATGCAAATACCTCTTGTGTATTTCCATATTTGTTTAGATTTTTCATGTCATCTACAATGAATTCTCCCTTGGAATGAACAGCAATGAAGTATCCCTGATAAGTTTGTTGTCTACTTTGGTATTCATCATAAGAATGTAAAAAGTTTGCAATCTGTTTAAACAAATAAATTCAGGCATTAATCGATATATACCTCTGCTGATACCATATCGTTATAAAGCAAAACTTAATGAGTCTAAATTTTAAATGCATATTAAATATATGTAAAGGGTTCAATGAATCAAACATAAACACTGGAAAAAAATACATGTATTTCCATACATGCATGACGCCAGACGTTAGTAAAAATATAACGATATAGGGCAGCGATAAAATCAAACATTGAGTATATTTTTAACGCTTTTAGACATGGAAAATGTAAATACAATGTATAAGAAATGTTTTTAAGTTTTGTGTGAATTTTTGGTTTGTAAATCCCACAGACTCGCACATAGGCATATTTTTCGAGAAGCGCTAGCAGGCTTCATGAAACATGCCTAACTGACAAGTCTGTGTGATTTCCACACCAATAATTTACACTTGAAAACTTAAAATCACTCCTTATATATGCTCCTACTTGTTCCTGAGTAAATTTCTGTGTAAGTTTGCCTGGTTCCTGGTTCAGGGTCACTTCTGTTGGGGGACAAAGGCAGGGGAAGCAGAACCAGTAGTAGTAATGGTACTTCTTTAAATCCTGGGGAAACATTAATAGTACATGTATGTGCCCATTGATATGGTTAAAACATACTAGTATACCCGGCATTCTCGTGATTTTGGCATCAATACATGTATATTCTGTAGTTTATGCTACATGCATTCAAGTTATAAGATGGCATTTTGCAATTTATCACTATAAAAATAATCTCTCTGTTTTCCTTCAAAGAATGAACAAAAAATTCCAATCATTGAAATTATGTACAAATTGTGTTGAACTTCTTTTTTTTAATTTTTGGGTATGTTTTTAAAGCTTTCTTTTTCATACAAAATAAAACTTTGTGATAAGCAAGCTACAGATAAATAAGAGCAGATCATACAGCGAAGGTGAGAAGGATAAACCTGGACAGGAGATCTGGAGTCTCTAATGCTTCACCGCTGACCACTGCTTCCCAGAGCTGTAAGGAAAACATGAAAGAAGAAGAAGTTTAAAGTAAAACGATACTGCTATTTTAATAAACATTGCATTCATTTCAATAAAAGTTATCTGAGTAATTTATGAGTTACTTAATGACTATCCAAAGAATATGAATATAAACCAATATAAATCAAGATATTAAGTAAATGATGTAAACCTGTACCAACTTTTTCATCTTTCAACACTTCATGTATTAATATAAGATGTAAGTTGTTAGATACCTTTCATCGTCGGAAATTTTTTTACTTATCACCCGTGGGCTATAAATTAAATATGCATTATTTGATTATAACCGTGCGTAACAACGAAAGTTCATTAAATTTTGCCAAAAACAGCTCATTCCGTAGTCAACACAGCTGATAAATCCATTCACCCGTACATTTTGCAGTTTGAAAGAGGTTCCTTCATAATATCTGTATTAATGTCAGTGACCTGTACGAATTGATTTTCATTGTTTTAAATAATTCGTTTTCACCAGCGTCAAAATATTTACCATGCAAAGTAATAAACGTATTTTTCAAAATTTTTCATCTTTCACAACAAATTAGCATATATGATAATATGTAAGTTGTAAGATCACCTGGGTTTCCGACGATGGATACCTTTTTGCCCGCCTCATTTATCATCTGTTTTTTATCACATTCTTTGAATTTGTCAATTGTGTTTGTATTTTGTAATAATCCATGCATTGGGAAACATCTGTGGGGTGTCTTTGCATCTCTGAAAAAAATGTTACAGAAACTAAAATGAATGGACAAATTGAAAATAAAATCACCAAACATATACATGCATGTGTGACCATAATTTCAAATTCTGTTTGAAAATTTTAATGAAGACACTTCATTTTGTTATTAGTCTATAACTGTATAAGTATTAGATATTACAGGGTAAAAATCTTACATGTCAAATGCAGTAAATTCTACGTTCATCCGGCATGGCATTCCAACGGGGTCCCCTGAAAAACAATAGTGAAAACATCATACCTTCTCTCTGCTCAGAATGTTTTCCTTGACATCCAATTATAACATTAAGTATCATTTTTCAAAAACATTAGGTCTAAATGAAAATTTGAAATGGCATATTCAATCCCCTTTCCAGAATCTGCCAAGAAAAATGGATAGTATTTAGTAAATCCTCTCCCCTCTTCGGTGACACCCTCACCCCTTCATGAAAAAAACCTACAAAAACTGTTGCCCATATCCCCATCTGCAACCAACTTATTTTGCAGGAATTCATGATTAACTATTAAAAATAAAATTCGCTATATACACTGATATACTATTCAAATCTTCAAACCATCCTGAATCCCAAAACATTAAGTCTCTATTTACCATTAAAGTAAAATCCGTTGATCGCCCTCTCACTCTCGTCCAAGCCATAAACATTAAGTTTATTTTCCGAGAGTTTGTGCCAAAATCCCGAGTCTAGGAAACTATTAAATGACACGAATTGAAGTTGCTTTTGACATTTCGCGTCAGCTGTGGGCGCCGACATTTTGTGTATCACGTGATAGCATTGAAACTTAAACAACTCATTCATCTGCTGTTTCGGATTTATTTGTGAATAATTCCAATCTTTATTTTATCTATTGATTTCCTGTGTTTTGATTGGACGAGAACACGTTCCAGAAAATTTTTACACATCGATAAATTCTTTCAATCAGAACTACTTTCTTGATGACACTACTAGGTTATCGTATAAACAATGAAAGCAGTTATTTCTGGGTCTGTTCTGGCTAAATAATGAATACAAGAAACTTTAAATTTAATTAGGGCTTAAACAAAACTGGCAACATACTAAACTGCCTAACTGATGGACGCCGTGAAAATGTTTCTGTCACTGTCCGATCACGAGTGTGAATTTTAAAAATCGCTGTCTCAACGTTCATACGTAGAAAATAAGCTCAGTCTGTATCGTTTTGACAGGGAAAAGAAACGTACCTCAAACTCTTGCCCTATTAGCATCAAATTCATATTTACTTTCTATATTGTTCCTCAATATTTGAATAAACAAGTGCAAATTGAAGGCGTCGTCGGTCTGCTACTTTCGCTATGAGAGTTGTTGTTTATGTCAACATGGCCATGGTCAAAGACGAACTATTCTGAAGTAAACTCGTAATTACGATATTTGTTGACTTAAACAACATTCGATTAGTTGTTATAAGTTTATTTATCGATTGTTTTGACAATTTAAGTTGAACTCTATCGAAATTCATCTCGATTACGTTCCTTTACGGTAAAATGTATTCCTACGCCGTCCAGAAATAACGGATTGTATGGAGGCCTCAAAGAGAAATAATTTAAATATTTTTAAAAAGTCGATATTGGAATTATAAGAATTAAACGTTCTTTTTGAAAAATTTATCGAAGTGTAAACTCTTGACATTTTACTCACAAACTTAACATAAAAGTGCTTCGCACTTTTATTTAGTTTGTGAGTAAAATGTCAAGAGTTTACACTTCGATAAATTTTTCAAAAAGAACGTTTAATCCTATAATATTTGTGATACCTTCATGTTAATTAGTATATATTTTTTGATATAATTTCATTGCAAATGATGTATATAATAAATATCTAGAATATAAAGAAATTGTAAACCTTCTGTGATGTTCAAATGTCTGCCCTTCTGAAACCATCCTTATTAATCTATAGATACAATTTTTTTTTTACTTCATATTCCATTTTTGTGCAAATTTAAATAAAAAATTTTAAAAATTCGCGGTGAAAGTTATTAATTTTGCTCATTCAAACATGACCCAAGTTGTTATTTTCAAATTCTTTGACAAAAGTTTGTTTGTATTGTAGCCAGTGGTAAAACATCAGAACTAACAATCTGGTTCAGGTTCAATATTATATTTATTAATGTTGAAATAAGACGTCAAAAACCTGAAATATTACAATTACACACAACATATAGACGACACATAGACAGACATTTAGACAGATAATTAAAACATAATAGACTTTACTTTAGAATAGATTCTTACCGGGACACACACAGGAATTACAAATATTACTATCTGTTATTGACTATAGAGTAGAGTACACATCTAACCAATTCAACGGCTAGGCTCAGAGTGCCCGATGTTAGTGCGTGAAAGCGGGAATTTGGTGAATAGGATAAAGTCATGTGACTGTCCGTCTAGTGTCTAAAAATAACAACAACCTCATTCACACAAAGTTTTTCACACCACATTCTCACATATACGCAGCGCTAGTATAGTAATTAAAGGCATTAAATAATACATAACCCTGGTTACATACTCCCCCTCTTCGTTGAAATGGCTCCTGACATTTCCAAAGAAGTACCCATGGAAAAGTGAACTGCCTATATAGGCAGTTATTAGACAGTTCTTTAGCAGTTTTACAAATTTTTAGCAGTTTTCAAACAGTTTCATGCAGTTTGGTTTTTACTGCTCCCCAGTAACTGCTAGGGACTTGGGAGTAAACAGTTTTCCTTAGCAGTTTTTATGCAGTAATCAGTTTCCCTAGCAGTTATATCTTAGCTGCATATGCTTGAGGACAAGACAGCTTTCCTAAACAGTTTTGTAAGCAGTATATAAGCAGTTTCCTTGTATAATTTGATTGGGTTCAAGAGAAATTTAACGTTGGGCTCAATGTTCCAAGAAATATGAACAACAGGAACCTACAACTGACCGCCAAAATTGAATTCTGGGTGCCAATTTGTATTGTTGGACAAAGGAAGAGGGAGCCTGCTGGCCATAAGCTTTAGATTTATTGAAAAAATGATGTAGTCATTTAACAATTGGTAAGTTATACAATATATATGTGGCCTTTAATAAAGAGATAAATTGAATACATGTTCTGTTCTAATTTTGTTTGAATATGGCATACCCTGTATTAATTACAATTTACTGTAAACCAACTTTTATTCGCGTGCGAGAAATTTTCGCGAAGTTCGCGAGAGCCTTGTCATCGCGAATATTTCTCGCCGTGAATCGGTCTTTAAAGTCTCTGTGTACACTAATAACAGATCCAAAATCGGCTTGATCGCGAAAATTAATCGTCGCAAACTAGGTTTCCCCTGGTAAATCGCGAAATAAAGTCGCCGCGAATAAAAGTTGGTTTACAGTAATTGTTTCATAATTAATTCCTTTCCATTTACAGACTTTTAGAAGAGGAGTGGGACAAGACTAGCTAGTTTGCATACACAAACTTTTGTGTCTCTTTCAAGAAAAACAAGTAGCTGAGATCAATGGATGATCTATAAACCTGAGCAATTATGATTGATACCAAAAGAGTGCCAATTGAAATATTTTTGTGGTTTATATAAGGATAGAAAAACCCAGCAATATACCGGCCTTCAGTGCAATAGGACTGCTGTATAACCAGGACTTAATGTAGGATGAAGTGGACATTGCTGTTACTTAATTTTGACATTTTAATTTACCTTCAGTGATGAATATTGTTGAGTATTATATGCCCTGGGATATTATAAGTTTTCTAAAAAGTCAGTGAGTATAACTGCATGGTTGTTTATGTAAATAAGATACATGTAAAATTACAGATGCATAAAACAGTGTTTACAAATTTTTAAACATTCATCATAGCAATTTCTGATTGCTTGATTGTGTAGTTATACAATTGTACAAAATACAATAAATTAAAATGTAACAATTGATCTATTATTGCTAAGTATTTTAAGTTTGATACCAGAAAACACCTTCATGACTCATTAATATTTATGTGGTAAAAGGAACTAGATAAGCAGTATACTGGAAGTCCACAAGCAGTTAGCAAAAACTGCTTAAGCAACTGCCTGTGAACTGCTAAAGTAACTGCCTATGAACTGCTAAGAAACTGCCTATGAACTGCTAAGAAACTGGTAAGGCTAAGAAAACTGCTTATAGATTGCAAAAGGTTTGTTCATCCATTAGCAATCTGGGGAAGGTTAAGTAACTGCTCTAGGACTGCTTAAATATTCAAACTGTTAAGGCTAAGAAACTGCTTAATAACTGCCTTCCACTTTGCCATGGGTATGTACAATAATAGTAACCATGAAATATAAATAAAAACCAATTTACTTGATACAACTCACCACCATGAAATCAAGTAATTAAATTAAAACCTCATCAATGACCATCAAACTTCAAACATCAACAAGACACATAATATACAAATGTACCAATCAATGTAGGAATACCTGACCAATGAATTCCTCCATACTCCATATGACACACAAGTCATGAAACTATTTACACGTACCTCAATACACCTCATTAAAGTTTTACAACTTTTAAGAGCTAATCCCATAAACACTAGACACAAATTATTATATACAATGAGTTTAAGGATTAGGGGAATAATGAATATGGTCATTATTATAATAATTTTTTTTTTTTTTAAATTTTTATTTTAATTCATTAAAATCCCGGGTAAACTGCATCATAAAAACATTTCGGCATAAAAGCAGTTTTCAGCATAAAAATCGGTTCTCGGCATAAAGCAATATCATAAAAAACCGTTTACATTATCCATTCCCCATACCGATCTGGGAATTTTTTCATTCTGGTCGACCGTCTCGGCAAAATCGGTAAAGGCGACTGTGATTGGTCTGAAATAAACTGACTATGTGGACCGCTCACAGAAGCTCTGGTACTACTGCTGTCTGACTCACTGGTGTAACCTGACTGTCTGGGAGAACTCACACTCTGAAAGGAAGGACTTGAATTCTGAAATGAAGAAATATTTTGATTAGTACCATCTGATACACTAGAAACTTTAGATCTTGATACACTGTGTTGATCTGATGATTCTTTGCTGAACTCATCTCTATTTCTGGGTATCCTTGATTTCACTTCAATTGTTACTTCATCATCCGAACTCTCAGAATCGGACTCCGTAAGTTCATCAGAATTCTTAGGCTTCTTGTTCCTCCTTGTCACAGGTGTCCTATAAACAACAGGTTCATCAATGTCACATGCTGGTATCTGGTTAAATGGTAGCAGCATATTTCTGTGCAGTGTCTTTGTGGCTCGTCCTGATGTACTCTTCACTCTGAAAACAGGGATCTCGGGATTGGGAATTTCTGTGATAACATAAACTTCTGAATCCCATCTGTCTGCTAGTTTATTCTTTCCCTTTAATCCTACTTTCCGCACAAGGACTCTGTCTCCAATCTCCAGCTTACAGAACCTCACTCTCTGGTCATACTTATTCTTGTTCTTGTCAGATATTCTCCTAGCTTCTTGAGAGGCATGTCTATATGCTGACACCATCCTGTCCTTAAGTTTCTCAACATAACCATGGTGATCTCCTTTCTCGTGTTCCAAGTCCATACCAAAGAATACATCTATGGGAAGCTTAGGATGCCAACCGAACATCAGGTAGTGTGGAGTGTATCCCGTTGCATCATTTCTGGTCGCATTGTAGGCTTGAACGAGTGGAGCAACATGGGATTTCCAGTCTGACTTCTGCCTCTCGTTGAGTGTTGAGAGCATCTTGATGAGTGTTTGGTTGAATCGCTCAGCTGAGCCATTTCC